TCATAAGGCTGACCGTATTTGTTTTATACGGCCGCTTATGACTTGTGGCCGGCCATGTGACACTTTTTAACTCCTTCATTCGGCGAAGGTAGGCAACACGCGCCTCACAAAAGCCCGTTACTAAATCACATCACATCAAAGACTTTAATAGTAGTTGCGTCACCGGAATCGTGTTCTGGAGCCAAAAGAAGCGTGTAGCACAAAGTACGGATGGTTTTGCGAGTGCGAAAACTGCCACACACATTTTTGTCCGTGCCAAATTGGTAAAAACTAAAATGCTTTTGAGTGGATCACACTACCGCTTTTAGAGTACAGATGGGTTTCTAAAAGAAAGCACTTTCAAATGTTAACTAACTCAAATATTAATTTTAAAGTTGAAAAATGTCTGAGATAGTGCGAACAGTTCACATAAATAGCTGTAAAATTACAAAAAAAAATGTTTTGTGCCGTGCGGGTTGCCTACCTAAGCACATTTTGACCCTACTTAATGTCAACTTATGGCATCAGGTACCTTGAAACACACAAATTCTGAACCATGTGCCATAAAACTGCAGCCTTCAAGCCATAAAAACGGCCAAAAATCGTAGAGGGGTCAAAATGACCCCTCCGGTCCTTCTAGGTATACGAAAATCCCGGTCCTTCTAGTGTTAAACAGGACCTCTATCATTAACCTAACCTCCAAAGCACATTATTTCTCCAACGTGGGAAGAGGGATAACCCTAACAAAGGTTGATATACCGAAACGTTGCTCTGTCTGTCTGTCCTCATCCTCCCACCTCTTCTCTCTCTCATCCCAAAATGAATAAGGGATGAGAGAATACGTCGCAATTACTTTGTGGAGAGTTATAACTAACTAGCTGAAACCGAGCGTGTGATCTGGAATGGTGGGGGCAGGAGGGGGAGGCAAGTGGTGTTGGCTCCTCACCCCGCGGTGTACAATCCGCGGCGAGGAAAAACTTTTTAATCCTGTTGAAAAAGCGCGTGGGAGTAAATGCGGGAGGGTTGGCTGCTGGCGAGGGAGGGGGAGAGAGAGGTAGGGGCGAAAGGGGAGGCACGCCGCGCGCGCATCAGCCGTATGACATTTGAATAGAGTTTGGGGTCTTAGCGAGCGTCGAGAAAGAGAGGGGTTGAGGGATCCGCTCGGCAAATTGATGCAAAGGCACACCGCGCCCGCCGTCGCGCCGCCGCCCCAGCTCAGCTGAGCCGCCGTAGAAAGGGCTTCGTCTGTGCGCCGGCTTTGCTTGGGGACCGACTTGGACCGACCGCGGCGTGGCGGGGCGTAGGTTAAACCTCCCGCGCGGCGGCGTGCGGCCTCGCAGCCAACACCAACGGCGTCCCGCGTCCCCCCTTCCCCCTGATTCATTCCTCCACATCCAACCCCCGCCGCAGGTCCTTCATGCACCCTGCCCCGCCCCCGCCCTGGAGCGCACACCCCGACCTCGCCCACTCCTCTCCTCGGCCAGTCTTTCTTTCCACAGAACTCCTTTGCGGCGGTCGCGGCACTCGAGCAAAATCCTCTTTGGCTTCCTAAAGAGCCTAAAGGGGGGTCAAGCCCCTTTTCTTTGAAGTGCAACGGTCCGGCAGTCGCCCCCTCCTCCCCCTCCCCCTTTTCTCCTTCCTCTTCCACCTCCTTTTCCTCCTCAACGTGTTCACCCAACCTCCCGTTTTTCACGTCTGAGTTACTCTCAGCCTTATCCCAGGCAAGCTAGTCGAGACGCGGTTTATCCAAATTAAAGCCCGGGAGCGCACGGCCCGACGCTCGAGCGGACTGGAGGAAGAGGGGAGGGGGACAACCGACACTTTGCTTTGACACGCTAAACGCGGTGCAACGTCCAACACCCACCGTGATGACGAACTATTAGGGGCTGAAGCAGCAGCACGCGACCTGAAACCTTAAACTATTGGATCCCTCGAGCTCACTGCGGAGCACAGCACTCACCTGGGCACGCCATCCCCAACCGGGCGTGCTGACAACGGTCTTTCTATACACGTCGGTCTCTTCTCACATCGTCCTTCTTTAACTCCCTCATTTTATTGCGATCGAAGGTACAGATTCTTCTTACACGGTAGGCCATCACTCTACCACCACTAGCGAAGTTAGCCATTGACTTTACTCTCCTCGCGCTCGAAAGTAAAACTGAAACTGCCAACTGCCTGGGTTCCTCAACGTGAAAGGGCAGGGGGGGTTGCTCAAGGGCTTGTGAACTGTATTTCGAACGCCTCTCGGGCGGGCGGGGCGCTTCCTGCCCCTAACGCCCTGCACCCACCCCTTCTTCCCCCCGACCGGCGCGCCCCAAATTGCTTGCCATTTACTCTCAAACTCGAAACCGAACGTACGTAACAAGCGCCACAGCCTCTTCCCCGGCCAATCATGGGTACGATCGCAATCGTGACCTCAGGAGGGTGAGGAGGTCGCGGCGGTGGGTGGTGGTAGGGTAGGGGAAGGTCCTGCCAGGCGGGGGCGATTAAATGCCTCGATTTTCTTCCGATTTCTTTCTTCTTACCCCGTGCTTTACTCGCGCGCTGTTTCCTACAATGTTCGTTCGTCCGCAGCATACCCCCAGACGTGGGGCGTAAAAGTCAGTCATTCCCTTCCCTTTTGGCCGCGTATTATCATTTCGTAGTCAAGTGCTCCACATGCCCTCGCCCCCACCTCTTCCCCTCAGCGTCTGTGGTCAATAACAAACGCCCGGCTACCGCCTTCGCGGCCGTGATATTTTTCGCATCCTC